CATAAGCAAATAATGCAGCTAACATCTATCAGATAAATGGGATTTGAATGAATATTTTACATACATTATGTTTGAATTATTGAGCCATCTGTCCCTATTTCATCAATGCCAAAATCACACAACTGTTACGAGATGCTCAAATGTTGTATAATCTCTTCAATCGCTGACTTATAAAACAGGCATCTACTATATAGCATATTGGGTCGATCAGTTAGGGTGAATCAATGTGAACAAACGGTTACGTAATCGCAATGCTAAACTTTTAGCAATTAGTGAAGCTGCTCATTCGATTACGTCACCCGACTTTTTACGCACAATGGTTTGGGCACGATCAATCCCCTTTACCGTGGAGGTGATCTTTCACTGCTATGCTTAGTAATCTTTGCTGGTTTGTATACGTTTGTTCACCAGAATTGATTGATTCCATGTGCCACATATGTTTCTATGAGCCCGGTGTTAACGTCACCAAATTATCACCCAGCGGGGGGATGTGTGCTTGAATCCCACGACCACTGCCTGACTTTCCCCATTGTGTGTGTGTTGAATGGCAGCCCCATTTGGTTGGCCGCGTCCTTCTCCTGAAAAATTGTTTCTATGTATATTCAGTAAAATGAAAAAAAGGAAATAATGTTAAAATCTGGCACCATTTATCTTCTTTCAGTATCATGTCTTCTTGAGGAAGTAATCACCTGTCTATAGACCTAGGTAATGACGAAGAGGATTTTCTAAAATTTGCATCAAAGGCCACTTTGGGTGTTCCGATCAACCTGTTATGGATTACTCTAAGCGTTTGCAAACACAAAGGCAAATGTGAATTAGTGTTCGAGTCAACATTTATCCCAATCCGTGGTGTTCAGATGATAAAACTGTGAACTGTGACAAAATTCCAAGGTTATTCAAATAGTTTCATCTAGCTCATACAGTCCTAATGGTACAACGGACATTTTTATACCGTGGTTATCAAATCCGTATTCGTGTTTGCAGTTGTGCGGCTAATCACGTTGATGCCAGTGAAATTCGATCGATCTATACAGTTGCATTCACATGAGGATGTCTGTGTAAACGCGCTTACGATAATCACCGTGGAACTGTCTGGTAAGCGGGGCAATGGAATGAGATGTGAAATCTGTTATTGGTCGATAAGGTCTGCCGAACAGCCGCACGTCGCATGTCTTCTAGGTCCGGTCGGCCAGAGCGATAATTTAACGATCTGTCACCGTACAGCATCGCTGGTTAACTCATCATCGACAAAGCAGGAAACCGTTGTATTGCTGTTTTTATTCTACTCATGCGCGGTTACCGGGGAGTGTCCATCGTGGCTTAACTCGATTGCGAACTCGGGTTGAACGATTGCCAGTAGTCTGTATGATCTGGCTGCTTGCAATGAGCAAGTAACCGCGATGTAGAAAGTGACCAGTCGATGCCAGCCAGCAACCTGGGACTCGGGGTTGTGGAACGGTAACACCACTCGAGACAGATGAAAAAGCTAATAGCAGCTTCGGTGTTTTTCTATTTTAATAGGTCAGCCTTTGCCACGAGATTGGTGAGGCGATTAGTTGTCTCATTGCCGTGAAAAAAATATCTCAGAGTTGCGGTGTGCCGTGACTGGTTCGGAGAGAAATTTTATCAAGCACAGATGTTTTTGGGGTAAAATGCTTCAAACAATAAAAAGTCAGAAGTTTTCAGTTTACTTTTTCCAATTTGAAGCTGATTGTAACAGGGAAAGGCAAGGGAAACAAGGGAAAGACAAAAGCTCTACTACTAACTGCTATGAAATATCTCAGTTCCCCTAGACCACTCATATTTTTAAATCCCCAATGCGTACGACATAGAAAGAGCGATTGATCATACGTGAATAAGGGGGTACTTTATCTGCTGGTATCGCTATGAGCTCAGGTAGGCGTTGAGGTCTATTCGAGTAACGGGGTGACTACATTTCCAGTTTCAGGCGTGACATGGGAAAGCAGATAGCAAGAGGTTTCCAATAAATTGGACTGACGATCGATCGGCACATGGTGTATGTAGTATTCAACTCGTGTGTCTGGTAGCGATTTCAAATTGTCTTTGCTACAAGAAATAATATCAGCTAGTCTATAGAATTGTTGGCTTAATGTCCATAATTCCGATCAGTCTGATTGTGAATACTGTGCGGGCAACTGGAATGAAACTCACCGGAAAAGCTTAACCATATGAACTACTACTGTCCTATGATCGTGGTCTCTTTCCTTAATAATAATAATCATAATAATAAACTCCGTGTATAACCGTGTACAGCAAATAGAGGAAGTGACATATCTTAACTTTCCGGTCTATCGAACAATATGGCCAGTTATTTGAACCAGTTGCAGTTAGCCATTTTCGTCTCCCAAACAAATGTACTCTTTGCTCACCGTGGACACTTCGGTTGATTAAGTTGTGAGCGAGGTTGTAGGTAGTCGTCCAACCGGATATAGGTACTTGGATCGCTTTCTCCTGAGCTGCTATTGGTTGCGCTTGCCAAGGCATCTGCATTGACAGCTCCGTCTGACTGCTCATTTTTTTGTTGATTGTGAGTTCTGCTGTTGTTGAACTGAGCAACTCCGATTGACTGAAAATTGGAAGGCGGAAAAACAGTGTTTTGAATACCAGCAGTTTCTTTGACCTTCTCCTAAGAGACTGGGAGAAGTTCGTGCAAAATGCAATTTAGGAAGAAGATCGACATACTGAATTTTGGCTGGGTTAGAAGATGGAATGATTCGAAGGAGATACCACATTCTGGTGAGTTCGGTGTGCGTTTCAGAAACGAGAGATCAGTCCGAAAATCCAGCAGAATGATCGTCTTTTAAAGTTGAATAAAGCGTGGTCAATTTTTATCGAAGGTATCCAAAAAACTTACAGTTTTCATGGAGGAAAGGCTTGGTAACAGGACACCGTCTAAGTGTTTCCATTCAGAGTATATTCGTCCCCTTGTCCTCATTTGAGTAAACCAGCCTGTTTCAATGTTTATCAAAAATTCACTGATTACAGTATAGAAAACCGTACAATCACCGGAACTACGTGTAACTGTAGTCTGTTAAATATTACTTTGGGATTCGCGTAAAACTATGCACTTAAAGTAGCAGTGGTCAACGGTACGCTAAATTCAGCTTCATTGTTTTGCAAGTGGTCCCGTTTCTTAAACACCCGATTTATACGTGGCCTTGATGGCATTTCTCAAAAGAGAGAAATAGAAAGCTTTTTTCATAGCTATTGCATCCCTTTGGTTGTCATTTATTCACGTTTGTGTTTCGTTCCTGAAAAAATAATCGTACAGTCATTTTTCAGGAAGATAGAAGCAGCCATTCAAAGGAATGCCAAAGAAAAGCGGAAAATTAGGTGACCGTGCTGGACTGTTCGAACGCATGACGTTCGGGGCCAAACGTTTGGTGACCTTGATCCCTTGACAACCGCAACCAATGAGCCGGGTCATCTTGCAATCTCTGCTTTAGCCTCCTAAATAGAAGAAAATTATGGTTAAGCGCTGTTGGTTTCCATGACATTGTCCCAGACGTCCGGTTTCGAACTCCATCATTAGCAACAGATTTTCTCACATTTTATCGAACAACAACCAGTGTGTTGTTGTTGTGTTGTTTTCCACTTAATAAAGGGAAGCAAGGAGTAAAGAATATCACAATCCTAAGGAAATCGCATTTGACAAGATAAGGTGATCTGCTTTGAAAATTAGAAGATTAACGATCAGTTATTTTAGTCTCGTCCGGTGTCGTCATCTAGGCAAACCAATTGAGGATAGAATCGAACACAATACAGCCAAAAGTTAAGCAATGCACTGGACGATTTCCGAGTTATCGATCATATTGTTTCATGCTAACTGGACACAATGTGACATAGTCCATCTTTGATAGGGGTATCATAGGGATTTTACATTCGTGTTATCTCACTTTTCCACAGCCCAATAATTGAATGATTCGGTAGCATTTTTGCTCCTCTGAAGTTAGAAGTTGGATTGACATTTGAGATATAGGACTCATCGTTTATGACTAAATTATCAAATCTGAATGTTTGGAATTTTGTTTGATTACCAAAACATGCTAAAATGCAGTTGGTGATGCACTACTCTGGAGTTACGTCTTTGAATGATGTGCGTCACCAGATGCGTATCAAATTCATGAAGAATCTGAGAATTATTTCTGAAGTGATTAAAACCAATGAAATAGACATTGCCCGGCTGAATAAGCGGCTGAGAAAGATCAACAGCCATATCCGTGCACATGGTGGATTTCCTCCCGGAAAACGAACTATCTACGAAAAAAAAACACCACAAATGCCCGTCGAATTTGTCTCGTTTCCTGGATAAGTCCATAACCATTATCCTGCAGATGTCAGGTGTACGAATTGCAGAGATGAGCTGTGGAAGAAAAAGGTTGAACGGTACGGAGGATACCATTTCCCATGATTTTCCCAGGTGTGTGTGTGTGCATCAATTTATCCACGAATCCAATTTATCTTTGAGTGAGAGAAAGTTTCCCAAAAATCAAAACAAACCAGCAAACGGATGAGGTTCTTCTGGTTCAGTCACACAACACTACATAATTGTTGACAGACTAGGAAACTCCGGTCTCAACAACAAATCGTGTTTGGTAGTTCGCATTTGACCTTAGAGCCCATCAGTTTTTCACAGTCACAATTTCACCCAGGATTGGAATCCTGGAATCATAGCACACTGGTGTGGGTTTCGCCACTCTCGGAGATTCCATTGCAGAGAACTGCTGGCATCGTATTTATGCAAATGAAGAATAAGTGAGAAATGATGGTTAATTTTGATATTTTAAATCGTCTAATCTGACTAAAGAGAGCACCCTATGAGAGAAGAAAATGACGAAATGCTTTCATATTCTGTACCATGTGGTTCAGTTTACACATTGTCATTCATTGCAGAATCGGGTTAATTTGCTCCAGACAGATGAGGTAAGGTAATCATCGATCGGTCACCAATTTGAATTACTCTTCTAATGCACAGGATCAATTTAACTCGCTGAAATCAATAAGACTTTCCAATGCTTTTTACCTTTCTCCCTGGATGTTTGTGTCCATAAACAAGGGAATATTTAAAACGTAAACTATAAAAACACTTATGCGTAAGTTTGTTTTCTGAGTTTAATGCTTGCTATTAATTTACAGTTTTTACAGGTTTCTTTTTAATGAAATGGCTTGACCGAGCCTTTACTACGGATTTGGAATATGTTGATTTTTCAGGGGCACTTCAATGCGATTTCTCAAAACATGCGTAAGCAGGTGAAGGGGATGATTCTTTTTTGGGTAGCCAAGTGAAAAATATTAGTACCAGATCATATGATCTCCACAAAAATAGTTTTCCTTTCAACAGACTAAACGCGCTTCACCGATAAGTTTGCCTACCAAATAGCCACAACACTGATTGTTCCAACTCACACATACTTTCTCCTCCTCAACCGGTTTCAAATTTGTCGAAACTGGCGATCGCCTTGCGGGATGCAGAACTACGGAATTCGTTTCTCCTGACCAGTCTGGACAAACAGCTGGAATGCAAGGAGGAACAGGATCCGTAGTTTCTGGATTAGTAACCGGTCCCCGTAACGGATCTGTCGTCGGTGGTGGTTTCACTACCTCAACGGAGGCCGTATCCGTTTGGCCGACCACGCCTCGCAGAGCCAACGTTTGGGGACGCGAAATGGGCTTTTCTAATAGCTCACATGGATTAATGGTCAAGCTACAATAGGTCTGTGCAACTTTGGGGCTCAGTTTTGATTGACCAGTTGGTTCTTGAGCCAGATATGTGTAATTATTGTCGATCAGGTGTTGAACACACTTGGGAAAGGTGGTCACTCGACTATTCACATACAATGTGCGCATCCATTCCGTTTGCATTTGTATGTATTCCGTTTCCACGGTCGAGTCTGTGCCCGGAGTTGTCACGGAACTTTCAGTGGTCTGACCGCTGGGACAAGTGCTCAATGTATTCGTCAGGAACTCCAATGCCTCATCAGAGACCGATCGGTTTGCTCGGGTTTTCTGTTGAGCTCGGATTCGAGCCTGAAACGTGAATGGTAATATGAGAACATTTATGGTGAAATGGAACATTTTCGAACGAATGGCTAAAACTCCGAGCATAGCTGATGGTTCAAGCTGTGCTGTTTGGCAAATCTGTCGTCCGTGTGAATTGTGAAAAATTCTGTTCAGTATTATTCGAACGCACCATGGATGCCATTTACGCTTTTGTACAGCGTACGCCCTATCAGTTGAGCTAAAAGGTCAAACCGAAAGCAAAAAGCTGTCTACGTCGTCCCTGCGTCAGTTTGGATTACACATAGGCTACTGAATTTTTCAAAATTCAAACATTTAAGTGCATTGAGTATTTGGGTTTGAGTGGTCGATATTTGAAAAGTTAAGAATGATCCACTGGATCACTAGGATGGAATTCAAAGATGAAGTAAATTGTGACTGATCTCGAGTATGAAACCGCTCAAAAGGAGTTTTGTTCTATTGTTTTTTCGGGAAAGCTTTTCACGGTAATGAACCAGAGATGTTCGAAAAAATCAGGCAAGGTCCGTTTTATGCGTTGGTTTATGCGAGATTTCATTGGTTTTGAAAACATCGATTTGTCTGGATGAAACAGCGAACTACATCATCTACAAAAAATCAAAGCACTGACTAATTTCTGGATATTTCTGGTAGGGAATTATTTAAAATAGGATACGTTTGCCTGGTATACGTCTTCATCCCATTGTCTCACAGTGTTCGTGCTCAGATCCCTCTAACAGCTCCACCACCACAAAACCCCTCTTTTTGACCATTGTTACCTATCGGTTTTATAAGCGATGAAGTTCTTTGAGTATGCAAATATTGCATTGAACCTAAAATGCAAGAATTAAAACCTTCGGATTATAAATGAACTATCACGAATTGATGCACCTACAAAGAAATAAATCAATATAAAAACCTTTGTGTCCCCGAATTTTCGTTGGAAACACACAGACATGTTCAATTGGTGTTGCTCTACACTTCAAGTGTTGAATATCAGCTTTATAGCTCGAATTAGTCGCTTTGGTTGCGAAAATTTAGGTGCCGGTGGGGACACAACGTACACCACCGAAAAACCCAACAAATACCCGATGTTTTTTACCTGTCATTACACCAAAGCTACACCACAGGGTAAAGCAGTACCATTAGTTTTACCCAACATTTGTGTGGTGATCCGAGCCTACGAGATGACGCATACTCTGGGGCGACGCGTTACAGTGTTAGGACAACTGTGATCAATCAAATTTCACGTGTGACGCCATCAAAGCGCGTACAAGTGACTGTTTCTCTACTACATACCATAGGTCCATTGTACCAGCCAATCAGAGACCGTGTGGACCAGACAGAAGCAGAACGATACCAGCAATACCGGAAGGCGATTGACAGAAGCCCGGATGACGAATGAGCACGTTTTGTACATGTTATTTAATCTCTCTTATTTCTTCCAATACACGATTTACTACCCCTGTGGCCTTTTTCCTCGCGTCTCGGTTACGTGGGATATTGCGTGCAAGTGCCAGTGTGGTCCAGTGCTTACGCGACAGACGTCCGTGACTGCTAACCAGTGATTCGTGTTTCTTGATTCATATTACGTGATGCATATTCCGCGTTAATTGCGTGCTACTACTACCACTACTATTACTACTACTTCTATTACTATTTCTACAACTAATACGACAATTTGTCAGCTCTAGTTGAATTCACATCCGTATCAGTGGGGCTAGGAATTGGACATGTAAATCACAGAGGCAATCTGGGGTTGCCATCTTTTATTTGAATGACTACATCACATCGCTTCGAAAGTGTATAATGTGGTGCTAATTGCTGCCTTGTCAGCTTCAACACAATGACGTATGCGGTTTCTATATCATTGAAAGATACTCAAAGTCCGGTGGAAATGGTTGCAACTTGCTTCGGATAATATGCAGTTTCAAAGAAACATTGAACGCGTCCTAAAGCTCATTTTCATTGGAAAAACATTTAGAGACAAGTACCTAGAAAAATGGTGGACAAGGTTTGCTATGACAGGTAAGCAATCGGACCTGACAGCATTGCGTGTTCCGTATCGCAATATGCATCTGCTTTTGTGTATTTGTACCGCATGATAGAAAGCAATTAAATGTTGTTGGGTGCTTGATCCAAATTGATACCTGATGGCGAAAACAGAGTGAAACGGTTGAATTTTCGATAACTCTTCGAACATGTAATCCAGTCATGTTAATAAGAATGATCACCACCATCGCCACTGCCGTCACAATATCTTTCTATCTGCGTACGCGTTCGTGCAACTACCTAAGGATCTGATGTTTTCCAAGTTTGGTGAGGAGTGCCTCAGAGAGACTTACAAAATCAAACAAATACTGGTATATGCCACTAACCGTCAAGAATAAGTAACGTGATGGATTCTCGCTCAGTTTTTCCATGACCATGCACAGATCGTTGAAATTCGGTCGGCTTGCTGGATCGGCATCCCAACCTAGAGAGGTGTGTTCGTTTTGGAGAATGAGAGAGTGAAAAAGAGGTTGTACAAATCCTTATAACAGATGATAAATTGATAGTTAAATAAAATGGAAACTGGAAAATATTCGGGAATATATATATATATATATATAATCCCGAATATTTTGGCAGATTTATATAAGCCTGACTAATTCCAGAATTTCTAGGCTACTCAGTAAGACTTCAATCTGACAGGTATAATTTGATTGGGTCGAGTTACCGGGTAAGTGGTCACTGCATAGATTTGATCACCACGATCAACTGAAT